GCAAAGCTGCGGGCCGTGTTCTGTGGCGAAGCCCCGCCTCAGGCAGGGCCCCGACCTTGCTTTCCTGGGTCGTGCCATCCCCCCAGTCACCATGTGGCCCCGACAGGACAGATGTGGCTCCGGGACAGGACACTGCCTTGGGCGGCACCAGCTCTGCCCTCTGCAGCCATCGCAGGGTCCCAACCATGGGGTCCCACCCAGGGTATCGCCAGGAGCGCCTTGCCCACCGCGTCACAGGGGAGCTGTGCTGGCCTCAGCACTCCCCCGTCATGACGCACACACCTGCACTCATGCATGTGCAGTGTTCCTCATGGGATGGCGAGAACCCCCAGCAGGGGTGGCCCAGGCCCCTGTCACACTGGCTTGCTGCCCCCAAGTGGCCTGGCCAGTCTTCTGCTCAGAGTGGCTGTCGCACCACCCACCAACTGGGGCTCTGACACCCATGAGTTTTCTGTGACCAGGCCCGATCGCTCCACGGGAGATGCAGGCACAAGCCTGAGGCCCGAGGGCTCAGCATCAGACGTGGGATCTGGCCAGCGTGATGAAGGTCAAAGGCGAAGGGTCTTGACTTAATTGCCTCTTCGTGTTTGCAGTCGTCGGTCCTTCCAGAAAGAGCAGCCGTAGGGAGGCCCCGCCCAGCCTTGCCCACTCGGTGGCAGCCCCTCCTGGGGTGCGGGGTGCAGGGCCAGACCTGGGCCAGATGCAAGTCCTCAAGCTCCTCGTCCTTACGTGAGGCGAGAGAGCCGCTGTAGGAGGCCGCAAGGGGGAGGGCGTGAGTGTGGGGCGCGTAGCAGGCATGGGCCAAGGCCCCCCCGTGGCCTGACTGCAGACAGGATGATGGTGGGCGCATGCCCTGCTGTGCACCTGGGGTCCCAGCCGTGACCAGCCGCACGTGGGCAGGAGGCAGCGTGGTGCTTGAGGCTCTGGACACCCACACGCCGACCGTCGTTCCAGCTTCACTTTCCCTCTCTCTCTGTCTCCCTTTGGTCAAATTAAAAAATAATAATAAATAAAACTTAATAAATATTTCTTTTAAAAAAGTTGCAATGGTGAAAACTACAGCGTGTAATAAAAGCATGCTGCTCAGGGCCAGCAGTTGGCGTAATGGCTGTGGCACTGGATTCCCATGTCGACAGCTGTTCGAGTCCCAGACCTGGTGGCTTAATCTCACGCCGCGTGCGTGTGCATGCGTGCCCAAGATCCCAAGAGGAGAATGGAGAAGGGATTGTGGCGAGGCCATCTCCCTGGGAGGTGATTTCTCACTTTCTGTCTCTCTGTCTTTCTGGTGAGTACATGTGCCCTATAGCAAAAACCTCTCCAAAAAAAAAGAAGAGAAAAAAAAAAGCCTGCTGCTTGTGGATGAGTATTGAACCCAATTCTACACAACAGAAGGCGGGCTGCTCAGGGAGCAGCCACGCTGCTTCCTGATGGGGTGAGAGCGTTTGAGCAGAAAGCTGGGACTGGTTCCTTTTTAACCTCCCAACTCGGATAAAAATGGGAACCAATTCCCATGTCTGTGTTCCACAGAGGAGATGCCACCAAGCTGGAAGGCTCCATCCCCAAACCAGCTCTGGCCACATGGTGTTGGCCCCATGGTTGGGGAGTCCACGGCACCCACAGGGCCCTCGGCTGCTGGGGTCCACCCTCCAGGATGTCGAAGGTGCAGACTGCGGGGCACCAGCCCTCCTGCCTGCTCTTGTCCCAGAGCTCTGCGCCCCCACCGCCCTCGCTGGACCCAGGCGGGGCCGCAGAGAGGCTCAGCCTTGCACCTCTGCAGCCCCCGTTCTGCATGGGGTGGCTGAAGGACAGGTTCGGGCACGTGTCACGTGGTGTGGCGTGTCCTGCTGACCTGACCATTTGTGTCAGTGAGCTGCGGGTTTTGGCATCATGCTTCCAAAGGGAGGACACAGCCCTCAGCCCAGCAGTGCTCACAGGTCCAGGTGGCGACAGGACGTGGGGGTGACACATCATCCTGCTCCGACAGCCTCCCGCAGGCCATAGTTCGACACCATTGAAAACTCTCGCCGGGAGTCTCAGAGGCAAAGGCGTCTGCCAGCTGCCTCGCGGCCGGCCTGGGTGTGTAGTTTTGGTGTTGGGTGTGGGGGTAGCGCTGCCCGGGAAGATGGCGGACTGGCCAGGCCCAGACGTGAAGCCCAGTAACAAGGCTTAGTGGAGAGCAGCGGGGACCCGACAAGGGAGACGCAGACATGAACGTGGTCAGCCGTGAGCCACTGCTCGTTCAGTGCTTGTCACCTACTCTGTGCCACAGGACACGCATGCTGGCTGGAGAGAGGCAGAGACGGGAGGGAGGGGAAGTGGGAAACCACCCCAGGGGGACAGCCATGCCAGTCCTTTCTCCTCTAGCCTCCTCGGGATTTGGGGCGCACATATGCACCTGGTGTGATTCTCAAGTCCCCATATCTGAACTCAGACTGCAGAGCTGGCCTTGCGGGATCCAACCAGCCTCCGTGCCTGCCGACCCTGCCACAGGCCCTTGAAGTAAGACAAGCCCCTGTCTGAGAGGGAGGCCTGGGCTCGGAGTACACGGAGAACCCGCATTTACTGTGGTGGGGACTTAGGCTGGGGACGGGGGCGCGGGCATGAGCCCTGGGGGACCAGTCCAGGTCTTGCTCCCTGCAAACCCTTCCAGTGTCACACTGGGCTCAGGCTCGGACTGCACAGGCGCCACGGCCATGCGTGAGCGTGGGGTGCTGGTGTGCGCCGTGTGTGGGTGGGAGCGCTTGTCAGGTGTGCGCTCGGACCGTGCCGTGTGGTCTCTGACCTGTGTGGGTCAGTGATCGAGACTTGGGCTCGGACTCGTTGGCTCCCAGTCTGAGTAGTGGCATCCAGGTCTGCCTCCTCCACACTCATCTCCAGCTGCGTGTGGGTGATGGCCAAGGATCTCGTGGGCAGGCATCCATGCTCACTTCAGGGCAAGGACCCCTCGCATGGCGAGCCCCACTGTGCCATCCTCCCCTGGTGCCAGCCCCAGCCCAGGCCACCTCACAGCCGGTCACTTCATGCTGCTGCCCCCCCAGGCACAGAACAGGCACAGGGCGGGGCCCGTCATTGAGGATGCTCGCCCCCTTCTCCTGGGGCGGACCGTGTCCTTCACGCCTTGGCCCTTCTTGGAGGCCCTTTCCTGCCTGCAGCTCTCGTGGGTGTCCCGTGGGAGCGCAGCCCAGTTTGGTGTGGTAGAGCTGGGCTGCCCTGGCCACCCCCACCCTGTCACCTGTGCAGGTCAGGTCCAAGGTGCTCTCCATGGCTGAAGAGAGGCCGGCATCTCTTCCACCAGCCTCGCAGCCATCTCAGGGCAGGGACCCTCCCACACTTTTCGTGGCCCCAAGTTTCCTCCTGCTGATCCCTGGAGGTACAGAGAGCCCGGCCCACTTCCAAGGGACTCTGAGAGCCCAGCACTACACACACACACTCATGAGCATGTGGAAGGCTGACCGCAGGCGCCACCTCTGGCCACGTGGTGTGGCTGTGAAAGGGCATCTCCTTTCAAAGGTCCCTGCAGACCTTGGTATGTCAGTGTGGAGCAGACGGGGACATTTGATTGGTGACGTGGTGTGACGCCTGGCCACTCCCGACCACACGCGCGAGCCCTGAGTGCCACCCTCAAGGAAGCAGCAGGCCTTCCCCGGGGCATATTGGCCCTGGTGCAACTCCCGTGGCTTCTAGATGTTCCGGAGCCCTCACGAGCTTGCAGGACAGGACCTGGGGCGGCAGCCTCTTCTCGTGGCCCCGAATGTAGCCTGCAAGGCGGAGGGTCTCGCTGCTGCGCCCTGCCATGGCCTCCTAGCCAACGTCCCTGCGTCCACATGGAGACCATGAGGGGCACGCCTGCTCCAATCTCTGAGCCCCAGTGCTGGAGGGAGGCCTTGGGCTTCCTGCAGAGTAAGAGAGATCCACACCTTTCTGAGAGCTCAGCCCAGAGGCAGTCTCTGGCTGGAGATTCAGGGGACTCTCCCACAGCTCCCAGCACTCTTCCCCCTTCCCTCCTTTTCTCCTACCCCATCCCCATTCGTTTCTTTCTTTCTAACCTGTTGGTCACTCACAGCCCCAAACCCGGCTTTCACTTGGGTGCTGGGGTGCCCTTCACAGGGACCTGCAGTGTGTCCAGAGCCCTCGAGAGAAGAGGTCACCTTGGCAGGATGAAGGGGCACAGAGAGGCAGGACCTGGGCCAGGGCACCCCTGCAGAGCAGCTGCCGGGGCACCGACCCCTCAGCAGGGTGTGGGGCCCAGGTGCACGGTGCCCAGGGCAGGGTCTGCAGGAGCCAGCCCTGCAGTGGCCCCAGAGCCGAGAGGCTCGATATGCAAACACAGTAAGGAGGTAACCAGCGTCATATGCCGTGAGAAAATGCCTTCTTCACCATCTCCAGTCATCCCCTGTGTCCCCTGCTGAGCCCCTGCGTCCTCACCTTCTGTCTCCTCAGCAGCTGTCCTGCTGCAGAGGAGCACCTCCACGAGCATGTGATGTCAGGCCATGGCCCGGGAGCTCCAGGGGCCCCGTGGTGTCCGGATGCCCTGGGAAGGCATGCAGCCTCCAGGCAATACCTGGCAGCGCGTGGGACTCGGGGACAGGCCTCGGTCTCCTGTCCAGCGAAAGCTCCGCTCTCCGCCTGCAGGCCTCACCCGTGTTCACGCAGCCATCACAGTCTGTTGTCACCCTCGCAGGCGCCCGCACTGCCTCCTGGCCACCAGGTCACATCTGGGTGCCTGTGGTCCTGTCTGGCGAGCTGGGAGGTGCTGCACTTGAGCGTGCCCGGCTGTGTGTCCACCATCAGTCCCCCTCTGCACGGGTGGACAGAGTGAGCTTGCACAGGCCACGGACACTGCAGTGTGGTCAGATGAGCGCTCTACACCGGAGTGTGTGTGTGGCATGGCACTCGGGCAGGGAGGTAGGTGGCTGAGGCCCTGAGAGTGGCCACCGGACCCTGTGCCGCCGCAGCCTTGCGTGGCGCCCCCCCTAACTGCCGCTCTCTGGCTGTTTCAGAGGAGGCCGACCCCTACAGCTTCGGGGCGGGCACCCTGTCGCGGAAGAAGAGGGTGCTGGTGGCTCTGCGGGACGAGGGCCTGCGCCGGCGTGCACAGCTCAGCATCGGCATGCCCCACGACTTCCGCCCTGTGTCCTCCATCATCGACGTGGACATCCTGCCGGAGACGCACCGTCGCGTGCGGCTGTTCCGGCATGGCTGCGAGAAACCACTGGGCTTCTACATCCGCGATGGCACCAGCGTGCGCGTGACTCCACATGGGCTGGAAAAGGTCCCAGGCATCTTCATCTCCCGCATGGTGCCTGGGGGCCTCGCAGAGAGTACCGGGCTGCTGGCCGTGAACGACGAGGTCCTGGAGGTGAACGGCATCGAGGTGGCCGGGAAGACGCTGGATCAGGTCACGGACATGATGATCGCCAACAGCCACAACCTCATCGTCACAGTCCAGCCGGCCA